TTATGTAAAGATAGTTTATACTGCCATCCCATATAATATCGGTTTATTTTTATGAAAATCATAATGATAACCAGGTACATACCTAATTACCGATAATAAAATATAGAAACAGGTAAATGGAAAGCCTTTGAACATTTCATTTGAAAAGAAATCTATTATTACAACAGGTAGGTTTAGGTATCATAGGTGCCAACTGCCAACACTCATAAATCAATATGAATATAAGCTTTTATTATTAATTGCATTTTATGTTCATTTATGCATATTATTTAAGTAATTACATAGAGATAAACACTAAATCTATTCAGAATGTATAAAGTGTACATCTTTTATGATTAAGTATAATATTTATAACCTCAAAATCTAATAGATTCTGTAGAAGGCCACGGTTCCTCAAGTTGTCCGTATCTCAACAAATGCCTAATAAGTTAAGAGCTTATGAATGATTACGAGCACAACTAGCATTTTCTCATTGCTGTGCATTCTGGGGCATTCAATGTATGGGGAACGAGCAATGTCCTTTATAAACTAACCTCATATATATGCACAAAATAATCTCTATCTATAGCGCGATTCAGCGCTAAAGAAAAATAAATAAATAGTTGTAGTTAGGCCAAATCTATGTAAATAATCACCTCAAGTGTTTTTGATTCAGATTATCGAAATTGAATTTGACAGCCTACAACAAAATGTTTTAATAGTTTTAACTAAACTCGATTAACTGTAATGATAATTTAAAATGCAGCAGAACAGTTGCTCTATGAGTGATTGAAATGTATTTATTAGTAAACAAAGTTTGGCTATTCATCTGTTAACTCAAGTGGTTTTGTAAATTACTTTTTAAGTATAGATCTTATTCACTAGTAAACTGACATCAAATCAAGATCCCTAGCATGAGCACTGAGCTATGATACTTTTTCACGATTTCATCACAATGAGAGGTGACGAAAACTTGGTTTATATCACAGGTCATTGGGGGTCAGACCTTATTGCTTTATTAAATTCATGAATATGAAAACATGCAACTTCATTCTTTACCATTATTCATTATTATCCACCGAAACAGACTGTGCTATTAATTATATCCAAATAAATTGTCTCCCTCAATGCCTGTCACGGGATAATCAGACAGCGATCCGAAGTATCATATGTCTTGATCAATCGTCTCCATCTTTCAAACGAGGTTCGAAATATTCTTCGACGGGAGGAAAATTACAACCATTTGTCTTGTAAAATCGACACTCTCTTTATCTAGTACACTTTTATGATTTAGGTATCCATAATTTTATACTTCAATTATTATATTTTTAGACAGCAAAGCATGGCAGGATGAAAAGCCAGCATTTAATAAAGACTAGGGTCGTGGGTCTGAAGTTATAACCCGTTGCTATGTATGTAGTACCTGCATTGTTTTTGCAGCTTCAATTTGTATTTGCATAATAACGACTTATTTACCAAACCTCGGTTCGGTTGGGTTGAAAGCCAAATTTATATTAATAGTGTGGTATCATTATAAATTTGATCGGTTTTGCGTTATGCAAGCGATGCGAAATGAAAACATCTGACAGTGCGAAATACTACCTACTACCGATGTCATATCGATGTGATATTGGAAGTGTTTTGAATAACAGAACATTTCAATTGAATTGTAGTGCCTATCTAAGTAATCATATAAATTAGAAACATTTACATGGTCTTCCTTCTAGCACAAGTCCTTAGAAGAGATTCTAATCAATTACTAGAGTACGTTTAAAGATGACCAAGTTCCGTTTACATTAAATCAATTCAAAAATGCTGAAGATAGATCCTTAATTGTCGCCGAAATTACCAAAGGTGTCGAGGTAATCTTGATCTCTTTATATTGAAGATACCAATTTAGGCCAATCATTTATTTGTATTCCAACGACCCTAAAAGTGATATACTTAGCTTACTAGATATCTGTCATAACATAAGACGGAGCAGCTCTTCCAGTAACACTTTTGGCACACGGCCAAGTAAACTCAATTATTGAGAGACTATGCGTATATAGAAAAACGGCTGGAGTCCTTAACGGGCGGTGAGTTTGTTTTCGCCTCGTGCGTCGTGATTTCACTATATAACTAAATGAAATGGCCTTCGATTGTCAGTCGGTTAGCGGCCTCGCAATTTCTACAAGTAAGTTTCTTTGCTAAAGATCATCGCTCATTAGAGTCACCTGGCACCATTACCAATGCCGCTTGGTTCGTGCAGGTAGTATTCTTTATGTGGTTTCCTTTACAATGATTCCGGATCGCGTCGCTTGCAAGCTGACGACGCATGTCTTGCGTTTGCGCACGGTCCAGGAGTAACTGTAACATTTCCTCCTTCTGCGATCCCTTTAATTACATATTTGAAAAATAGATTAGCTATTTTAGCACATTAAAGGGATTTCGGAAGCAGTTAAAGTTGGGCAATTAGCCGCCATGTGGACAAATCTTTGCCAACGCGATGTTCACTCGTTGAAGAAGTAAGTCCACTCGGTGAGTCCATGGTTCACAATTGAACCATGGACCACCTGTCAACAACCGAGAGTCGAGGCAGTGTTGTCCGACTGCCAAATGGCTCTAATGAGCGCTGACCTTAGGGGTTACTTACCTCGTAAATCGATCCCAAGGCGTCTAAATTTAGAGGGTTTTCAGTTCATTTATTCCAGGCTTAAAGTATTTGATTACGTAACTTAATATTCAAATGGGATTCACTAACAAGAAAATCTGGATTTAAAATGAAAAGCGAAAAATTATTTAGCGTAAATTTTGCGACATACGTAGATATTGTATCGTACTTAGTTGCTGACGTCGTATAATTATGCCACAGCAGACCAATGGATTTTATGTAAAACATTTACTGTTCCAGAGGGTTGCTTAAAATTTTTGGTGTGACAATATTTACCTCGTTAATTGTTTCTCTGGGGATACGATTTACAATAAAATTTGCATCCAAATCGCCACGGAAAATTAGGTGAAATCGGCCGGTGGGGGTCAATGTAAGCCTGACTATTATGTATTCTGTGGCCTGTCCCAAAACACCAATTCGTTTCATACAAAATGATTATCTTTGTTTGTACAGCTACCTTTATTGGAAATGGGACGATTGGAGAGCTTTTTCCAAGTGTCAACGAAGATTTATTATAGTTGGTTCAATATTTATGACTGGCCTAGTAACACTTAAAGTTGTTTGTACATTTGCTGTATGAGAAAATATAGAGCTTTGCTTTATGTTTTTGAAGAATATTTTCTGTTAATTAATTTGTTGTTTCAGTACTCCAATGGTATCAGATTAACAATGGACCATGATTTCGCTGTCTATCCGCTCATCAGTGGATTGTATGTTATGAACAGTAATAGCTTTAAAATAATGTTTTTTTTTAATTTATATATATATTACATTTAAATTTAAAATTTCCTATAATGTATTCCTTAACTTAAATAATAAAATGAATAGAATCTATTCAATAGATAATAAAATAAAGCGCAAAGCTATACTTAGCAACGGTTATATTAATAACGATGCGTAATAGAAAGAAAGAAAATATTTATATTAGAACCTGTATTATTTAAATATGTATTTTATCAATAGGTTCCTACTGCTTTTATTAAAGATATGTAGTTTATAGATACTACAAAAGAAGAAAAACATTTTGTTAGAAATAGACCATTGGACAGCGGTTCCGACGTTGATATTACACACATAGATGACTCAAATCTGACAAAAGAAAAGGGATCGAATGTCATTACCAGTCCGCTACGAAAGCGGTAATATTTTTGTGGCGATCTTTATGTTGGTAATGATCTGACAATCGATGAGCGATATGTGCTGATAGATATTTCATAGTAGGTAGTGTACAAAAAAGTGGCTAGAAGTGAATTTGGGACTTATTTTTACATAGAGCAAAATGAATGGTACAATTTATTGGTCTTTCTTATACGTCCAAATTGAATGAAAATATTGAAGCGAACACTGCTTGTTATGGAAAAGAAGCACTGAACTCGCTTGATCGTTATGATCAGATGTTTTGACACTAAAATTTTTATTATGGTAACTCAGAGTTTCGTACCAATTTTTACTTTTTTTCTTTCTTTTTATCACCATAGTTCACTTTTATGTAACTGCTAAATATTTAAATGTAAAGACAGTTTGACTAGAAGTAATTCCACGCGGACCAGGCAGCAGACTGGACACGAAGCCGCACCCTTCGCTATCTGGGCGAACGCACTGACCATAATGCTACCGCGGCCCTGATGGCCGTGTCGAATTTTCTCTAGCCTTTCTTAAGCTGCAAGGCAGTACCATCTCTTCTGTATATTATTTTATTTAAACAGTACCTGTTCTGCATCACCTTAAAATATAATTTTGCAATCCTTGCGTCTATAATTTTTCATCAGCATCAGCAGTCTATAAATGTCCCCTGGGACCCAGACCTTCTCTAAGGTTGAAATACGGATTAATGGGTTCTACGACTGCAGCTGCAGGCGACACCGTCAATGCCATAATGTGCCTTACGAAGCACGGAGGAGCTTGCTATATTTCACATGTACTTAGTTATCTCAATTTATATTAAGTAGTAATTCCTTTAATATAATGGCGGCGCTTGTAGCATTGGTAATAATATTTCACATTCTTTAATGGGATTATTCCACTTAAATCTAAGAAAAGATTTCGGCACCACACTAAAGATTGAGCACAGGACTTACTACGTACAGATGGACAACTTTCACTTCTTAAAAGGTGGCAGATATTGAATACAGATGAAAGACACTGAAATATAGTGATTATTATTACAATGACAATGATTCTTAAAGATGAATCAGCCATCCAAGTACAGAGCACTGGAAAACATCTGTTCATGGCTGGCTCCACCGAAAGCAGATAACATAGGAGAGAGAGAAAAATCTTTGATGGGAAAACTTTAGCAGATTTTCCTTACTAAATATCACATCATTCTTTGCGGTAATAAAATGTTGGAAATGTTTCTATTGTACAGGTGCTTCTGGTTCACGAAGCTTCAAAAGGTAGCTTTTCCCGGGTTTTCGACCTGGAGGCAGGGGACGAGGCGGAGCCGGGCACACCTAGAACGTCACCCTACGAGAGTCGGTTCCCTATCAACATCGGTATTACGGGATATGTAGCCACAACAGGCGAGGTAAATACTTATTTTTATCTAGATTACTTTATTGTACCAGCTGTCCCAATTATCATCTTCATTCAGCGATAGTACTAATAATAATACTCCTTACACCCACCCATTAGCCTATCCCCAAAGTAAGCACTTTAAGGCTTGTATTACGGGATACTAAAGTAACGGATAGAATACATATACTGATATAATTATATATGTAAATATATATATTTCGTTTCCGACGAGTTCCTTATTTCCGATTCTATCCCGCAGGTAAATACTGATCGACCATTTCTATCTCCATTGTATACTATGCGACATTGAATCCTCTTATAGACTGCATATTGACCGAACATATTCCGTTTCCGTAGGTCATCAGTGCTAACATGACACGATCTTTGTTACCTGAACGTTGCATATTCGGAATAACTTCGAGAACCGGATTAATAACTCAAGCAGTAGAATATTGCTAGACATGTCTTACATTGGCCATACTTGTAGTTAGTTTAATAATAAATTATGTCATTGCTGGATTATTCTATGTAAATCGTGCTATCGTTGAATTTATAGGAGGAACATGAGCTCTCTGTTTCTTGCCTTTCCTTCCGTCTCTCTAAAGAGGCGTTTGGGTTGGTCGGAAAATTTAGAATGGATTTATTGACAGATTAATCATATGTAGTTGCGTGTAGCTTAAAACTTAATTACCAATTTATATGTTTAGTCCAAAAGCTCGTCGGTGCAGACGTAGTTTCTTTGTCTATCTTTATACCTCTAGTAGAGAGATAATATGTAAGTATAGATAGTAACCCTCCTTTAGCTTGAGGTTTTTCAAAAGAGTATTTGTAACCGAGGACGATTAAATTTTATTTATAGCGCGTAAATTCTTTCGATGGTTGGTGTAACTGCTAACAGAAGCTATTTTAGTAATATCAGTACGTACTTGGGTAAATATAATGTCAGCAACGATTCTGGAATTATTTCGCTTTATTTCTGTTCGCAGACAGTAAACATTGCCGACGCTTATTTGGATCCACGGTTCGATCCCTCGGTGGACGAAGGCACGGGATTCAAACACAACACTATACTCTGCATGGCCATCAAGAATTCGGAGGGAAGGATCATTGGAGTTATTCAGGTGATTATCACTACATAGTATAAAGCAAAGTCGCTTCCCGCTGTCTGTCTGTCCCTATAGTATGCTTAGATCTTTAAAACGACGCAACGAATTTTTATGCGGTTTTTTAATAGATAGAGTGATTCAAGAGGAAGGTTTATGTGTATAAATTAATTTATGAAAAACTAAAACACCTCAAAAGCTCCAAGATATACGAAATGTAAAACAAAATTCCAGACAAAAGGAACCTTTTAAGTTTTGATGATTCAGACTGCATACATACCTATAACGATGAGTAAAAAACGGTACTACTGAAACGTCGCACTGTGGAATATTTCGGTGTGTTTCGGATTAAAAATCTGTAACTCCGTCAATTTGAAAGATAGACTTATAAAATTTTGCTATAATATAAAGTGATACATAAGGATTCATATAAGTAATGTTTGATGAATTGGAATTATGCGTATTTTTTTAATTAAAAAAGAAAAGTCACAGAATGGTTTAAAATAGTATTATTAGTATTAATTATTATTTATTGACATATTTTTTAGAAACATATTGTACGTCTATTTCTTAATGCTAATTACTCTATTAAGATAACTAACATGTTATATTGATAATATAACATTAAAAATGGTAAAATATTTTTAACACTATGCTAACATACAGAAACAAATCAAAATTATCGCAATATATATTTCTTTTTTTTTGCTCAGCAAGATTGACATCTTACACCCGGTGAGCTTCAGGATCTGAAATAAGTTCATTAACCTTGAGAAGGTGTAAAGTATCTTCATCGAGCTCCTTTACATTTTTTGCATATGGTTTTCTTATGCTAAAGTAGTGTATTAAACACATCTTCGTTTGTAGCTATTCGAGAGCATTTCCGAGCATGGTGTAAGCGAAATTTTTTATAGTCCTTATTGCGAGATTCTTGAGCATCTTCTGAAAGTTGCCCAATTGGTAATACCGCGAAATGGTTTATGATACTCTCTCCGTGAATTAAAATTTTGTGGACAGATGATGGCATGTAATACCAACTATATTTACTCACGTATATTCTTGCAGTTTCCAGAGCATAATTACCGAATTTCTTACTATCTACCACTATACCAGATGACAAAGCCTGCAAAATTATATATAACCGTTTAATTAAATCAATGTCAATCCCTGTGATATCAACAGAACAGGCAGCATTGTAAAAAAATCTCCTAGCAGTATTGCCATCATTACTATTTCCCGTCCCCTGTCGTGGTTTATCGATATTTAGACCCAACTCTTCACGAAATCGCTTTTGTACTTCAGCCTTTTTTTCTTGTTTGAGTCTTTTTTTTTCTTTGCTTGTAGCAGACCACGTTTGGAAAGATAGATTATATGATATGTGTAATATCATTTCCATGCAACGAATCCAGGCATGTAATGAGGATAATCCGTATTGATAAGCATTTTCATTTACAGGCCTAGCTATTACTTGCGTTAAATCATTCATTTGTCTAGGAGTTGCTCCGCATATTGTACATGTGGAACTAGAAGGCGTATCTGTTAAAACTTGTGCCACTTTTCCGTCTATCATCGTCAAAAAAAGTTCATGCTTGACTTGGACTCCCACGCCTTCTATATTAATTATTGATGGAAGCAAAGTTTGTATTTGACTATAGATATAGGCCGACAGAAACGAACAGATGAAGGCACTGGATTTTGCCATGATTCCACGTCAGTTAATCTGATAGGCACAAAAGAAGTAATAAATAAATTTGGATCGGAAATAAGTTCAGACTCCTCTGGTAGTGCTTGCTTGTACTGGCTTTGTCCAGATGACCCATCACAACCCCATTTGCTATACAATAGTAAATGTTTTTGTCCATTCTTGTAAACCTTATCTATTGATAAAATTCGAGCTGCAGTGTGATCCAATAGATCTTGAACTCTCAATATTTTTGCATAAGTATTTGTGATTTCGATTGTTGATGATGGTGGATAGCACCTCTGTTTCATTTCCTGTATTTTATAGTATGGTGGAAAAAAAGAACAGTTTCTTTCATCTGTAACGTTTTTGAGATACAGATATTGTGCCTTTGTTAGTTCCAAGTCGATGAAGACACTTAATGCTTCTTCATCTGTAAGCCCTTTAATTATTTTTGCATCATCTAATTGACTTATAACGAAAACCTTTTTCTCTGCATCAGCCAACCTTAATTTTTCAACAACTTTTGCTTCAATTCCTTCTCCTATAAAACGCAATCCTTGAAGATATGCACTTAGAATGTGCTCCAAACCATATTCATTTAGCAAAATGGTGTTTTTTCTTTTTTTGCTTGATTCTGAAGAGTCTCCATATGACACACACGGTCTTCCTCGTTTACCAGAAGAAGTAGACGGTGTAGTCTGTTGACACGTTTTCTGATGTTGGTATAGTTAACGAATATTCAGAATCCAACCAATTGGTGTTCTTTCTTAAAAAGGTATTTTTATTGCGTCCTGTTTCACTCTAGCGTTTATTAAACGAAGGGATGACATCCCTTTGCATATGGTCAATAATAAAACATATATTGACATCCGAAATTTGTTTTCCCTCCAAATATGTTGAAAGTGCCGCAGTCGTTTTTCCGCCTTCTATATAAGACACTATTAACTCACGTTTAGTACAGTTAAAAGTAGACATGTTGAATAATGAAATAACCGTACCTACTAGCGTACGTAGACGTAAAGACCACTGAAACGGTAATGGAGACATATTTTTTCACTGCCCTTTTTATATTGTTTCAGAATGTGGGAATTATTTCAGATATCTATTTTCTCACGGAAAATGACATCGAAATGATAAAACCTACATAACAATATCAAATAATTAATTCTTAACATGTACCACAAACTATTGATGATAAAAGTAAACTACGAAACCGCATTTGATAGCGATTTCCGTTCCCAGACTAGTATTCGATTTTTTCACATATCTCCGAAAACCGCTAAAAGCTGCAGCTAATTTTTTTATATGTTTTAGATGAGTAACTAAACTATAATTTAACATTAAATTCAAAGCATCGGTAAACAACTCTAAATGTTAAAAGATTCGACGAAGTTGAGGAAAAAAAAATATTTCTCCATTTTTTCTTTAAATTGGTTTTTAAATTTATATTCATATTAAAAATAATCAATTGTATTTATTTCTAACCTCTGATAAATGTGCTTTTCAAAAATATATAATACCTTATACCTTTCATTTCAAGTTTTAAAACTATTTCACGTTGAAAAACGTAAATGAAGAACTTAATATTTCCCAGCTGCCTAAACGTTTAACTTTGCTACATGAAAAAAAATACTTTTACGAAATAAAATATGAATTACGCTGCAGAATATTAAACTTCGACTTTTGAACTATTAAATTATATTCATATATTACCCAATTTCAATCAGTAATAAAAATCAATTTTGATATGCGTTTGTTCTACCATATTCCACCGTGCGTCGCGCCGTTGAGACATGATTCACTTTAGATTAATAAAATTGAGGTCCTTTCTTATTATTCTGTGATATGATCTATTTCAATGTACAATATGATTTTCTCGATAAACCTCATTTCTCGGTGAATTTACACTGCCTATTTTATTCTTATGACGCATAGCATCCAAATCGTGAGAAATGGCGATTCGACGTTTGAATTATACAGGTCATTTGTAATCTCTCCGAGCGGGTTCAGTGTTAGCCCAAGATTTATCGATATCCCTCCACAAAATATCGGTGGATAGACCTTTACAACTTATTTTTAAACCACTTTCTTATGGTAGATTGTGTTAAATTATTGAGAATCGTCTTCTGTATTTAAAAAAAAAAATATTAAATAAACAAATATTTTTTACACTATTTTTTTTTGTATTTCTACATGACTACTTTTGTTCATCTTCACACTGGCTCACCTAAAGTGGTACAGCAAAAATATGCTTGAATCGGACTAAGCACAATTTTCTCCTAAATTATATTTTTAATATTATTAGTTAAGTAGACATAAGTGAGCATGCCGCATGTTTGCATGATTAAATATAAAAGGCCGCACTCAATGTTGTAAGGTAGGCGGAAAACTGTCAAGAATTAATAAGTGGCGAACCCGCTATGCTCTACCTCTATGTAGCGTAGCATAGACTTAAAACATGTAATTAAGGAAGGCAGATAAATCACCAACAACATATATAACAATTAAACAAAGCCATTTAAATAGTACCACACAGCTCAATACAATTTATTGTTATTCCTCACCGGGAAATTGTCGAAGCCTCCATAGTGAAATGTAAAATAAAAAATATTTCTTCATACAATTTTCAGTCAATGTACCGGTCATGCGTTATTCACGCGGAATATAAATGTCCACCGCGACCACGTGTACGCGAATGTCCACAATAGAGCTGTATGTATAAAAAATAGCGCAATGCGGTTGTATGCGACAGCCAACATATTTAATATCGTTGGCGACAGTACTTACAATTGGGTAGTGGCTTACAGCATAAGACTCTTTTCCCACCGCCGTCGATGAACGAGAAACGATTAGAGCTACAAATTATCAACGAGTTGGCGAGCAGCGGGAAGCGAGTGTGTAGTACCCATAGTTTTATCGCTGGGCTATAAGCGAGTGTGCGAGTACTTGACCTACTCGCTCGCGGACCACAGTCCTGAACAAAATTTAACGCTTAGGTACGCGTTTTGACGACTACGCGAACATCTCTGAGCGTGTATTGTCTTTGATAGTTCTTGTCGCTCAGCAACAAACCAGTGGAGCGAGTTCTTGCGCGCAGTGTAGACATTCAGGGATCAAGCGTTAATAATAGTGCGTCTTTTGAGCGAGAAAATAGTCGATAGTTAGTAGCCTCCTCGCCGGCGATGGGACAACTGCCTAAATCAAATTATGCCGAACTTATAAGTTCGTTTACAATATAAAAAAAAATACACAAAGGAGATTGACATTGCAATCGGTTTTCAATAAAAACACGAACTTATATAACTGGTTTTCATTAATGTGATAAATTCACAGA